CTTAACATTGATGATTCCTGCATATACAAATACTAGTATTTGGCCCCAGACGCTATAAAAGTTTTGCTTTCATGACAGTTCATATCTCACGTGCGGTCGACTTTAGTTTTGGTCCCAGTCTGCAGTGAGTGCTGAATCGGTGAAAGCATAATACCCATCAGACGGCAACCAACACCTACGTATCCCTCGTTCTCTTGCCTCGCTTCTTTGTGATCGTTACCGTATTGCGAGAAGAGAGAAAGATCTCCTGAGTTATTGATCATAGTAAATTAAAAAAAAAAAAAAAAAAAAAAAATTATAAATTGATTTTGATCCATTTGAATGGCAGAACTGAAAAAATTTGAACTGAGCTTTTCTTCTTTTGGGAAAAATTAATTCATTGCAATGATACTCTTAATGGCGAGAGATGCCATCATCAGGATTTTTTCTGCTCTAATACTTTGATGATAAAGAAACTACTCATTGGCTAAATACGTTCAAAAACATAAATGCAATCTAAAAAATAATGATTGAAACAAAAAACCTGATGAGAAAAAAAAAACTTCTGCATTCGCATTCAATTCATTTTTAAAACTAATTTTTTTTTTTTAAGTGAATACGGTATCGAAGTACAAACACATCAAAAAGAGCAAAAAAAAAAAAAAAAAAACAACTTTGGTACTTATTTGACCTTCATACATTAAAAGTAAAATTCCAATCAAATTTTTTTCGAATTTTTTATATTTTGTATTGACATTTTATAATCATTCTACATAAATACGAGCAGCAAGAGATGGAAAAAAAAGTATATTTTATTATCGTGCATTCTATTTAGCGGGTTGATGCATATTTTCGAATTATAACACAAATTGATCAATCAATCGTGCTTGTCTCTATAAATAGTGTAGTATAGTATAATATTATAGTACACTTTCTGAGGATTCCATGCATCGACCTATCCTCTGACCTATCCTAGACTTACCTTATTGTTTCCTCAACGGACGACGGCAAATAAAATGATATATTGTTTATAAACACGTAAGCTGACGCTAAGCTTAGATTTAACGCCTTAGATAAACGCCTTTGTGGTGAATAAATCGAAATCCTTTCTCGATTCCATTAAAAGATGGGCAACCATTTTGCGAAAATCTTTTATGCTCTTATCGTTAGACCAATCCTAGAATATATATATACTTACAACATGGTTATCAATATCGATATGACATTTTGTGTAACTTAAGTTGCAGCAATATTGGAATATATGTGTTTTAATGTTTCTCCTAGAGGATACTTAATTATTGTGTTCCTCTACGACTGTCCCACTATCCACCTAAAAATGGCAATTTTATAAACCTTTTCGGGATTTTATGCTTAACGTTAAATGAAAATTACAACAACTTTGGCGTTTTTTTTTTTTTTTTTTTGTTTTTCATTCTTTCAATGCGACAAAAAAAGCGCACATGGCGTCGATTGGGCCCAAATTGATTGACCCTTTTCTTTTTTGTAATGTTCCTGGACAAATGTGAATGTGCATTTCATGATGTATATGTGCATATATAGGCATGCATTTCGGGCTCGCCATGTTGCATGCGTGCTAGAATGCATTCAATTTTTAAAACAGTTATTATAATATTATGTTATTATAATTATTATATATATACTGTGCTTGTCGTAGTTGTTGTGGTTATCATTTACTGATTTCTCTATTTCCAATTATTATTATAATTACTTTTTTTCTTTCGTTTAAATTTAGTTTAAGTTTTCGTTTGTAACTTAAAATTAATCTCTTATTTATATTTAAATTAATTATAAATTGTACTTTAAAAGTTTTTTATGTTAAACGCTTCAAAATATACATACATACATACATACATACATACATACATAAATACATACATAGTTATTGATTGAAAATATGTTATAATCAATTTGAATAAATAAATAAATTTAAGATATTGCATTTAAAATTTCTTATAATTTTCTTATGCAAAATTATATACATATAGATTGTTTTCATCATATTTTTCTTGCCAATCATTCCATTTACGTAGTCTCTCTATATCGCTTAGAATGAATATATATATATATATATTTATATTTATATATGTATAACTGGTTATTATTGCTCTTTTCATTGGTAATGCGTTATCATATTGTCGTCGTCTCTTATAAGTATAACACGATATGATGCTTACGGGATTTTAGGCAATTTCGTTACATAAAAACTCATTTCATTTAATACTTTCTTTCTTTTCTACGGGCAATATATAAACAGTTTTGCTGATTGCTGTTTCTCCAAATATTAACCGCAATCTTAATACGTTTTCGCATAAAAAAGGAAAAAAAAAAAAAACGACGAGAAAAATACCGATTAACGATGATATCAAAATATATTATTCTATTTACAGTTTCGTAAACACAATAAAGTTTACTTAATATCATTATTTAATATATAATATCATGTATGATTAAATGTCGTAATACGAGCAACACTCATACGCCCAAAGGTTAGCTAAAATGGAATTTTATTTTATTTTATTTACAAACAGTAAAAAGGTTTATTCCACCAAAATATATTTATGTATGTATGTAAGGGCGTAAGTAAGGATGAAATACATGAAAGGAATTTTCTTATCATTTTTCGTAAGAAGAAAAAATAACTATATAAGTAAATAAAAAAAAAAAAAAAAAAGTATATTAAGTCGATTGTCAGTCAATTATGGGGTTACTTAACCTTTACGTATATACGTTTACCTTAACTTGACTTGTATATAGTCTAGGGCACTGTATGAATAACTGAATCGATTATAAAAAGATTTTACTTTTTTATGTAAGTAGAAAATTGCAATTCATCCGTTATATGTTGTGTACAGTGAGATATTTGAAGAATTTCTATCAAAGGTTTCTATATTAATTCAAGTGATATTCGAGCTTATAAGTGCCACAAGAAATTTCATTATAACAAGGGGTAGCCTCGCTGCAATATCCCAAAAAATAGTATAGTTTTCACCATTACTTTGGGATAGAAGGTGAAGTGAAGCTCTACAATGATAATATTTAAGAGGGTTGTTAAGCATACATCTTTGAATGTTTATATACCCCGTATAACTTGCGGTATAAGGGCACTTTAAGTCTTTTGCGAATGTATGCAACATCCAGTGTAACTTGAAAGAGACGCAATTCTCACTATATCACTAAGACTGTCTCTCCGTCCGTCCATATTGGATTCTTATGCTCAAACTGCCACTGGCAACTATGAGATATTTTGCTAAAATTTTGATACACCGACAACTTTTGACCCAAGGACGAAATCTATTAAAAATGATGCGTATCGATCGACTTTTGCGACCATTACCCATATAATACCTTATTTTCAAAAATCGTTACATGAATCAAATCGTTCATTAATCAAAGAGATATTGAGTACCTAACAGGGGGCAACTTCTCATAGTAGGATTTTTATTTATTTCAAAACGAATTCTTTTTTAAAAGTATTAAAAATGGTAACATCGAGAGTTCGGGGATTTACGGCAAGCAGCTGTAACCCGCGTAGGTGTTGCAAATATGAAAAAAGGGCCCTTAATCTAAAAGTAGTCAGAAATATTTGCAAAAAATTAATGTTTATGTCTGTTTAAATGCAAATATATTTTATTTCCAACCAAAACAATAGCCACAAAGAAAATAATTGGAGTTATATGCCATAACGTCTGAAGAAACCGTAGACATAATTTTTATTATAAAAAAATTTCGGTTTTTATTAGTTTGCGCAATCCTTATACGATAAAACTGCCATTTCATATTCACATATTGTCCTTCAATCTCTTTCTTCGACGATTTTATGCCCGAAAGTGCCGCATCTGTCAAAGACGAAACGACACGGTTTACAGTTGGCATAAGAAAAGGGGGCAAAAAAATTATTATTAAATTTATATTTATAAAATGAAAGGCTTTCATTGTTCTTTGAAGAGGCACCGGTTTTTTGTTAGAATCGCTCTCAGTCTCATAACTATTCCACGGTAGTCTCGATAGGGCTTCTTATTTGAATATGCTTTTAAATGAACATAATCCGTCTGAGTAGCCGAAGGCGAGGAATCTCAACTAGCAAGTCAATGGCTAGGGGTTCGAATCTCAAGTACGGTAGAGTTTTTAATAAAAGCCGATAGCCTTAGATGCTAGTGCTTTTAAGAGGTGTAGTCTAAGAATTTATTTCTCTGGCGAAATTAATAATAGTAATAATAATAATAATAATAATAATAATAATAAATGAACATAAACCCTTTTTAACAACATCTGTTAATGGGCTTCGGAAGTTTCTAATTAACAAGAAAGGCATTGGACGTATTAGATTTGCTTCACGCGTGAGGTTTTTTCAAATCGCTTCTTCTTTCTTTTCTTTTTTTTTTTTTTGATTACCTAAGGTTTCTTTTCCTACCTAATATTTCTTAGGTAAGAACTTATGTTTATCAACAGCTCTTTCAGTTCACTCTTGGCACAATGAGCAAATCCGCTGCTTACATAAACCTTCAGACGGAATCCATTTTGCGTCTTGATGTCTTTGTTGATCCCTCTACTACGTGTGGCCTCCTCAATGAAGCTTTGCTAATGCACATAACTTACTATATTTCAGCTTTTAGCAGTGAATTTTTGTCAATCTTTTGATTCATCCCCAACCACATAAGACGCAATCAGCCAATTTTGATGGACTTTCATTTTACTTTGTATGTGATTTTCGTAGCGAATGTGTATGTTTACGTTGTATCCACTATAATGCTTCGATATTTCTACGTTACAAGTGTTAGAGCTAAAAAAATAAAACTAAGATATTGTCAATGTTGATAGTTAATATGCTATAAATGTCAATTCATTTGAAATAATTTTTTAAGAAAACGAAAAATAATTTCATTGAAATGAAAGCATTTATAGGAACTTCCATCGTTTCTAATCGTAAGCCTTATGAACGTATTTTCAATAAATTCTCCTTAATTTAAGAACAATTTTTTAAAGTAAATTTCTCTTCTTAGTTATTAGGGCAACAAGCGATCATAACCGTCATCAGAAAAGTAGCCAGGAAACTTTTAAAGTTTCCGGTCGAAGTCCCACGGAGGATGGTAAAGTTATATTTTATGCTCCACCAGCCGGTGGCTTGAGCTCGAATAGTAATCGTCATATGCAACAAAATAATCAAAAATCAGTAATTAAAAGTGATTTCTCTATACCGGCTAACATCTATCGAGAACGCAGCATCGAAGAAACTGAAGCTGCTCATGATCTATTATCACTTTCGCAAAGCTTACCGCCTTTAACTCCTCCTTGTGTAGTAACCATTATGCATCAGAATTCCATCTCATCGTCGGCATCATCGTCATCTATCGTTGCATCGGTACCAACCGCATCCGCCTCAAGTCCACCTATACTGGTAAAAACTCATATGCAAGAAATATCCAGTTCTTCCAATCACCAGCACAATCACAACATTAATAAACATAATCTACTGCATAACGTTAATAATATGAATATTTATGTGGATACAGCAGATCATCATAGTCAACAGCCTTCAAAAATACGTTACATTAGCAGTGTGTATGACGGCCAGACAGCAGTCAGCACAAATGCGGGCAATTGTTCACCTTTGACGCCCCCCAACTCCGATCATTCGTCTGATATAGATATTGATATGTCCTCCTCTTCAGAGTCCGGTCAATCGAATCATCATCAGCCATCGATGCAATTATGGAAATACACTATGAATATAGTGGACGGCCGTACAAAAGCCTGTAAAAAGAAAGAAGAGCAGCTGGGCAAAGCCGAATCAACTAAAAAGAAACGTGGCTGTTATAAATGTTCCGAGTGCGGCAAGCAATACGCAACTTCTAGTAATCTATCGCGTCATAAACAAACGCATCGTTCATTAGACTCTCAATCGGCGAAGAAATGCAATACCTGCGGCAAAGCGTACGTCTCAATGCCCGCCTTGGCAATGCATTTGCTAACGCACAAACTTTCGCACAGCTGCGATATTTGCGGCAAACTATTCTCACGGCCCTGGCTCTTACAAGGTCATCTACGTTCTCACACTGGCGAAAAGCCATATGCCTGTGTTCAGTGCGGTAAAGCGTTTGCCGATCGTTCGAATTTAAGGGCACATATGCAAACTCATTCGATAGATAAAAATTTCGCATGCAAAAGATGCAACAAAACATTCGCATTAAAATCATATTTAAACAAACATTTAGAATCGGCCTGCGTTAAAGAGCCGCACAATGAAGCGCCACACAAAACTAATAAAATTCTGATTGAAAGAGACGATGAGGAGAAACGTGAATCTGGCGAGCTCACTGATGCTTTACTTAATAGCAGTGATGAGAACGACGAAGATATTATTGTAGCTTAAAAGAATAAGGAGACTAAAGAAAATTAAGTAAGAAACATTAAAAAAAAAAAAAAAAAAAAAACCCAAAACGTAAGGTAAGTGATTAATGTAAAGAGAATTAAGTAACTAATCAATTCTCTTATGCAAGGCCCTACACAAATTTCAATTAACTCCGTAGAATAGTTAAAAAAAAAAGATAAAAATAAAAAAATAGGAATAATAATAATAATAATAACAAAAAACTAAACTTAATACTCAGTTTTACAAAAGAAATGTTTTAATGCAAGCTAAGATACTCTCTCCAGTAGTTTTTGAAAAATTACGAAATTTTCTTAGAAAAAAACAACAACAAAAACCAAATATAAAACAAAAGTTCTTATTTAGATAATTTATTCAGTTTTACTAGAAAATAAAATTTACTGTATTTAGTGAGGAGCAAGAAAAAAAAAATAAATAAATATTTATTTATATAAAATAAAGATTTTATTTATTAGAGATTTTCTAGTGAAATAAGAAAGTTTTTTAGCGAATAAGCCAGAACAGACAAAGAAAAAATACGAAAAATAAAGAAAAGCAAAACCAACCAAACTACCAAATAACTTAAAGTAAAAATCCCATGCAACGAATATTATGGAACATAAGTAGAAATTTATGCATACATACATTCATGTACGAATATAAATGTATATATATATATATGTGTATATTCATATATATACATGTAAACATATGCACGTATCTACATGTATTTGTGTATTTGCATATATTATAAATGTACATATGTGTTTACGTATGTATGTATGTATGCATGTATGTATGTATATGTATATATATATATGTATTTTTATATGTATTATAAAAGTACATGTTTATTTGTACATATATATAAATATATGCAAATTTATGTATTTATGTGTATGTATATGCATATTAATATATATATATATATATATATATATATATATATATACATATATAATTTATCATATACATCAGTATGTATGTATATAAATATATGAATGCATATATATGAATACGTGCATACATATATAAGTGTATGCATTATTATATATATATATATATATAATATATAATATATGTAATATATTATGT